ATTCCTTATATCTTAGTGTGGATGGACTTATTCGAGGACTCCCCTAATTGGCTAACTCCTTTTTTACATGTGGCACATGAGGCCGACATTTTTGTGGCAAAAGAGGTTGATTCTGGGCCACAAACCCTGGGACCTACCGGACCGTCAGCCCCCCCCATATCCAGTCCTCCAAGGGGGTGACGACCCACTTCTCTCGGAATCCTCGGAATCCACGCCCCCTCCCTATGTGCACCCCATTAACTGGCCGGATAAGGGGGGTGCAGGGGGAGGAGCAAGAAGAGCAGACGGGCCACTGGAAGGACCATCAGGGGGAACCCGAGGTCGAGCCCAACGTGCCCTATCCCCTGCTCAATCTCCTGACACCACCGTGGTCTTGCCCCTCAGGGAGACAGGGCCCCCTGACTAGATGGGGAACCCTCGACTTCAGTACTGGCCCTTCTCCACTAGTGATTTCTACAATTGGAAGAATCTAAACCCCCTTACTCTGACAACCCAAGAGTTTAACCTCTCTCCTGGACAGTGTTCTGTTGACTCACCAGCCACCTGGGATGACTGCCACCAACTGCTCCACAGCCTCTTCACCAGGGAGGAAAGGGAAAGAATCCAGACAGAGGCCAGGAAACCAGTCCCTGGAGAGGACGGGCAACCTACCGCCAACCCTGACCCGATTCATGCTACTTTTCCCTTGAGCAGGCCCCCCGCAGCCGAGTGGGACCCCGACACGGCAGAAGGTAGGGGAGGCTCCGGGTCTATCCAGACTCTAATGGCAGGTCTCTGGGCTCCAGCCTGAAAACCAAYTTAGCTAAAGTTTTTACAGTAATACAAGGGAAACAGGAGTCGCCTGCTAGCTCCCTAGAAAGGTTAATGGAAGCCTTTAGACAATTTACCCCAGTGAATCCGGAGGCTTCGGAGAATCAGGCAGCAGTAGTAATGGCTCTTGTTCATCAGGCTGCTCCAGATATTAAAAGGCAACTACAGAAGCTAGAGAATTGAGAGGGTAAGAGTGTTCAGGATCTCTTGGCCACAGCACGGAGAGTCTGTAGTAATAGGGATGCCACCAGGGAAATGACAAGGGTGTGGGTAGCAGCAGTACAAAGAAGGGAAAGGAGGCAGAGTTCGGGGAACTGGGGCAGAGACCAAGAGCAGGAGCAGCGCTGACCTATTGGCCCGTGACTGCATAGAAACCAGTGTGCTTGCTGCAAGGAGACAGGTCACTGGGCAAGGGATTGCCCTAAGAAATGGGGCTGGGGCCCTGTCCCCCTACATGCACCCCAGCAAGATTAGGGGCGTCAGGGTTCAGCTCCCCTCCCCAAGCCCAGGGTAACTCCCCAGGTGGAGGGGACTCCAATCRAGTTCCTAGTGGACACTGGAGCTCAACACTCCGTATTGACGGCGCCGCAAGGAARATTATCTAAAAAGACTTCTTGGGTACAGGGGGMTACAGGGATTAACAAATGTTCATGGACAACCCAAAGAACAGTGGACCTAGGCGTGGGMTGGGTGTCCCACTCGTTCTTAGTTATCCCTGACTGCCCCTACCCACTGTTGGGAACAAACTTACTCACAAAAATTGGAGCTCAAATTCACTTTCAACCCGGAGGCAACTACAATCTCTGATGGTCAGAGGCAGCCTATTCAGGTACTGACTGTGACCTTAGAGGATGAATATAGACTGTACCAACAACCCGTCCCCCGGCAATCAGGATATAGACTATTGGCTAAAGGAGTACCCAGAAGCATGGGCAGAGACAGGAGGTAAGGGTCTGGCCAAGCACCGGCGGCAGAGTTTGTGGAGCTAAAGCCTGGAGCGGACCCRGCTAGGGTTCGTCAATACCCTATGTTGGTRGAAGCTCTAGCAGGAACTGTTAGATTCGGGGGTCCTGTTGTCTTGCTAGTTGGCCTGGAACACCCCACTTCTGCCCATTTGAAAGCCTCAGTCCAATGACTACCGGCTGGTCCAAGACCTGAGGGAGGTGCAC